TATTTCATGATTAAGTTGGTAGAGCTGTTCTGGCTATCGCTGTGCGTTAGGTCAAGCCTCTTGTGCACGCAAGTCATTAGGCTCACAGGCCGGCATCCTTTGTCGAAGAGTGAGAAACTTGCGAGGAGGGTACAGCACCTTAAATGCCTGGCCCATGTATTCAGAATGAACAATGATTCATAACAGAAACAAAAATACTGTTTGGTAACTCATCACGGGTTAGACTATGGAATAAGGTCGAACGTACTCTTGACATTGACATACAAGCAGCGATGACGAAGAAGAACGAACGATTAAATCTTGCAATTCCTAGAAGAACGTTTTAAGGAAGGGCGCCCTACGGCCATTAGGGAAGACATGATGATGATGATGATGATGATGATATATACTCATACATTTGAGGAAACCAAACAAACGCGGCACTGTCATGCGCATGCGCATTTCATTGACGTCTAAATTCGATCGTTCAAAAGTGCGCTCAATTAAATCAGCCACAAACACGCCTGTTCTACCACCTATAGACTGCTCAATTCTCATGTTGCATTGTAGCTTTTTCGGCGAGAGATTAAAACGGAAGTGACGTCACGAAAGCTTGAGAATAGGTTTTATATAAATTTATTGGAAATACAAATTAAAGCGTTGCAAAGTTTTTAGTGTATGTCATTGTAAGTAAATTTATAAGTTTATTTATTTATTTACCAGGTAAGTCTCAACTCTAAAAGAGTATTTCAGACTAAAGAGTATTGCGAATTGTAAATGTTTTCTTAGCAGTTCATTCGTATAGTTACAACGATCGAAGTTATATGTCCATTGAGTAAGCACAAATCAATAGCCACCACAACATCATAAACTCCATGCGATAGTTTGTGTCCCTGGACCATCTCTCGGTCTCAAAAACAAKGCTCTCTCACAAATAGAGGAACTGAGGACTAAGAACGCGAAGTCACYGATGCCTAGAAYATGGCGTCTTTGACAACATGACCTTAAACTTTTATCATGGATTTTTTGTACATTATTTCAATTTATTCAGCAAAGTTCATTGGTCATTTTATATACTTTAACGCTGTAAGAAGATTATGATAAATTAAAGTATTTTGAGAAAGTGTTTTGGATCTTTTATGGTGCATTGAACCCGCCCTGTAGGGGGAAGCAAACTTGACGACAACAGTTGCATTGATGTCGTTTATTTTAATTCTATGTCTATAATGTTGATTACCAACCTAAGGTATAATTTCGAATTGTAGGTGTTTTTGTTAAGCAGTTATTCTTTTAAATTTTAAATTTTTAATTGTTATAGCTATTTTTCAAGTTTATATCATAACAAAGGTTGCATGAATAATGTTGATCARTACTGGGCTTCCCCGGTGCATGGAGATTGCAGATTACATCATGTCCRTAAACAGACTTGAAGTTCTGTTTGGGTAAACCGATTGAACAAAACATATGCGTGGCTTTCGTTTGCTAAAAATGTCAGAAGTATATCACAAAAACCTTCATGTTTAGTTTTTTCTATAGAGCTTGTTTTATCCGAATATCTGATCAAGAGAATCTTGATTATTCCCCTAAGGTTCTTATTACAGTACTGAGGAGTCATAGTTGCTGGGCAAAGCTAAACGTTCCACGATGTAAAAAAATACACAACATTAGGTAATGACATATGGCAGAAGCGAATCTCCCCCACAATACAAGGAGCTAAAGTTTACCAGTTTGGGAGAAACATCTGTATCGAYCATCAAAGAGAAAAAGATGTTAGTAGTAATTAAACCGCCAGCTCTTTTTGTGGTTCACATGAATGAGGTTGTCAAGTTTCTTCTGACATCTTTGTCTAGCCCTGATTATAACCTTTTACAATTAGTTATGTTTCTTTATCTTCGTCTTTTGAAATCTAGAGTTTAAATTCACTTCTTTTTGCTAAATACCTGAGAAATCATCTTCTTAAAAAGGACTCTGGCACTAGTTTCTGGCCGTGGTAAGAGATTTTAGAAAATGTCTTGGAATTGTGAAGATTATGATGTGTGTTTTTAAAGGTGTTTAAGCATCAGGCTTTTTAAGGCAAATGTGTTTTGGAGTTCAGTGCTCTTCACGGTCTTGTTTGTTGTGAAATTCGTGTAACGGCGCGCTCTATGGCTGCAGTCTTTGTTTGAAAGGCTTCCGGCGAGTGTTAATTGAAACCACACTAAGGGCCTTTAAGCTGAACTTCATTACTACACTTAAGAAAGAAGGCCTTTCAATTTGTCGTTCTTTAACGCTTCAATACTTGAAATCCATTCAAAAATGATACTATGAAAAGTGCGGTTTTGAGTTGTCATTTAGCTCAAGTCAGTATACTCTTTCTTGTAGTAATTATAGATCATTTATAATGGAAAATTTTCAGTGTAAGTGGTTTCTTGTTTTTCAATTGCACATGTAGATTCAAATTATAATTGTTAAGGATTTTTWGATTTTGATAACCTTTTTGACCAGACAGTCATAGATTGTGTGGGTTATTCATCTTTGGTTCTTCGTTGGTCCGTTTCTAAGGCGCATATAATCTCTTTCTGAAAGATTTGCAAGGTAGCTCTTTCGGCGTAGTAGCTCGCCATACTCTTATCAGTGTAGAATCACATGTTAATTGAATTATTTTGTACTATTTGCTCCTAATTTTCCCCTTTTAATCACTGTGCGTATGTCCTTTTATCTCATTTGCACTTTATAACTCTCTTATACCCTCATACCTTTTTGCTAGCATCTTAAATTTACTTGGTCGTCTAAGAAATTACTCAAAAATGTCCATTTTTTCATGATGTTTTCGAAGATTTTCTCTTCGTTTAGAAGTCATTGTGTGCTACACGACACGATTATGCTAAGACAGAACAACTTTATTTGACGCAACAAAGACATTAATCGGCCATAATGACTTGCTTTGATACCGTTACATGACGCCGATCGTCATTTTTCAACTGCACTCCTCAGAGCTCTCGTTACAAGTCATTTCTCATTTTAGTAATCTGTACCTATCGGTGAATTAATGCGTCTCGATGTTTCTCTGCTCAGAAAAGATCATTTTAACGTGTTTTTTACTTCATTTTCATGAAATAAGTATGGGAATTTTGTAATTATAGAACTACAATGTAATAATTATATTATCCCGTAGAGCTATTATTAGTTTAGAGATGGGTGCCCAGTCATAATGAAACAATCTCGAACAAAAAGTAATACAATGATCTAGCGACAACAGTGTTTCACCACAAAGGTACAAAAAGTCCAAATTCAGTGGCGGAGTAGTTTACGTTTCTACCTAGTAATTTGATAACTGTTTCCCCACTGAAAAAMCCTTCGTAATTAGCTGGATTCTTAAGAAAATAGATCTGTTTGTATTCGTGTGGGGAATGGAAAAAAATGAATGCCAAAAAAATGAAATAAAATAAAAAAAAATTGGGTATAAAGTGACGAAAATTAATTGCTCTAAAGTTTATTGTAGCMCCCCTTCATATTTATAATAATAATTTCTCTAGTTTTGATATTTTTTTTTCATTTTGTGTTAATATAATCAAACATTCAAATTTTTAAACTATTTTTTATTTAAAGAGCATTTCTTTACAAGTTGAAAAAATTGAAAAAAAAACAAATGTAATCACCCTTCTTTCTTAGTCATAATCCCATCAAAACTTCCATGTATCTTTATGACTGCAAATCCTTATTTTAAGAAGGTTATAACACACCCATTTTTCTGGATTACCAAGTAAACAAGCTTTGGTAGTTTTCAGTGGAGATTTAGAGCAATTAGGTTATTGTTATTGGGTTGTTCTGCTGTGGAAGTAGGCTAACTTTCACGTAATGACAGCTGTTAGCTCTCTGAGTAAACACAAGATTCTTATTATGTCGGCCACCTCTTTCTCGAACTAGACATATGAGGCTCGGTAAACATTCATCTTTCATCTATATAAGTATTAATTAAAGTCTGTATCAAACACTAAAGTAAAGCAAGGCAAATATTTCTCACCCCTTAAATYTCCAGCACCGAAGCGCATTAAGTGGCGTAATTTCTATTGTTGAATTTCAAGGTATAGTTGGTTATAGCTTTACAACTAAGCTCTGAATGGCGAATTAAGGAGTCTTTAGAGTGGAAAGGGTTTTTACTGTACCTCATTCACAATATCAAAATATTCTGATAACACTGAATGGTTGTCAAAAGGTCTATGACATCCAACTAAGTAGTTTGATTGTTTTTGAAAAGAAAGCCTGTAGCGGCAATGGAGAGGAGGCAGTGCTTATGTGCTAATGAAATTAGTGACAATTCTTTTTTCATCAATATTTCGCACTGAATCAAAAAAGTAGTGATAAAAACATATAATATGAAAGAAAATGGCAACATTTATTTGCGATCACAAAATGTTGACTTTTGCAGTTAGTTTTGATTTGTAACAGATGTTTTAACCACCAAGCCTATTCTGTCATATCAAAATGATACCACAGACAGTGATATCGCTTTTTATCTACTATTAAATCTATTGTTTCAATTAAATGCGAGCAATTTTTCCCCATTTCCTGAATTCAAAGCGATCTCATTTGGTCATGAAGCCGATAATTACTGAGCATTGCACCTTTTCAGAGGGTTTTTTTTTCCTAACTAATCTTACATGTCAATTCTCTTTAGAAATCCCCATGCTAATGAGGYCTCAGTGATCTATCTGTGCGTGCGAGAGAGACATTACTTAGAACCTCAATTAGTATAGACAGAAATGCCGGTCAGTTAAAACACTCTTGGGTTTATTTTCCTGCAGGAAAAAGCCGTTCTAATTCCGTCACCTGTTACCTTTAATCCAAAATGTAACAAGCTCAAGTCATTTCCTTAACTCAATGCAATTTATACTTCACATTTCCCTCACTTCCGTTTCAGAAACCTGTCTTTGAAAAAAGGAGAAAAAAAAAAAAAACTAGTTTTTTTCTCGAAAGACTATATGACCAATCTCTCTAAAAGGTTTTGTAAATACTAAGCTCTTATAATCTGGTTTGTAAAGCTATCCTACGSTTTAAATTTTATTTTGCGTACAACTTGCATAATAATAACTAAACTTAAATACACCTCAAGTCACTTTCACTAATGACATGTGTAGGGTTTTGTTGTATTTCTGTTATTGAACATAATTCTAATGCAATTCTCGAGTACTAAAGGTGAGGTTATATTGACAATGTCTGCCAAGGTGCTAAAACTGCTCTCGGTAATTATCTAAATTAAAGGAAATTCGTTGGCACAATAAGTTAATTTTGTATTCTAAACTATCTTTTTCCTTAATTGACCAAAACGGAACTAATCCTTCCAAAGAGTTAATTCTTAACTCAGRATATGGTTTCACACTTAAAGTCGATGGGGGAATTTTTAGCTTGTCTACAGYATTTAAAAGGATTGGAGTTTTAACCGCGCAAAAACGATGGCTTCCGTATACWGTTGTTGATTTTAAACAAAATTTTCTTTTAGAGCGTAATTAAGCTTAATTATAATTCTTCTGTATGAAGCTGAGCTGGATATGTAGTTATGTGTAACTTAAACTCAGATAATTTCATATTCATTTTTCGAGGTGTAAAAAAGGTATATTTTGAATAAAACGTGGCGTCAGGAAAATCTACCTTTTGTTTTAACCTGCAATAAATTCATTGTAATTGTGCTCTAGTCGTTTTGTGAAAATCCGTAATAATGGAATCCCGGTGGGGTGTCTGTTAGTCCATAGCGTTGCAAACACATCTTCAGTTGTTTAATTGTCTTTTTCKTYCATTCAAACTCCACAAAATCAAAGGTTGTTTTTATTTTAAATGGTGTTCATCATAATGCCACAAATAATTGAGATGTGTTCTCTAGGTTAGATTCAAGAATGCCGCCTTAATTGCGTAATTTAAAAAAAAATGTCTTTTTATGTGTGCAATCTATTAAAGTGAATTTTCTGCGCTCTTAACTTCATTTTCAGATGAACACGGGGAAAGCGATGTAATATTTTGTATAATTTACAATTTTTTTGGAGTGCTTCTTGTTAGGCTTCGCTTTAAACTGACAATAGACGAAAGGGCGTCCCTAGCAATTCTTAACCTGCGCCCGAAATAGAACRCTAGAATACTGATCTCAACAGTTTGCCTTTTCAAGCCATCTCCTAAAGTATCCCACCAAGTTTAAATTTAATKATATTAAGTTATTAAATTCAACTAAGTTGAAACACTCCTAAACTTGTATACAAATACGACAGAAGGCCGTTCGTTCTTGATTTTCTATTGGAAGTTTATCGAATCGAAGTATAAACCATTTGTGAATACTTCATTAAGTTGAACCGAATTAAACAGTCAGTCACCTGCTTTATTTTGCTCCTAGCAGAATTTCAATTATTCTAGAATTTTCTTTGTAGCACTTCCTTAGCTATTTTTTTTTAGATTGTGTGAATTGAAGCGTATACATGTGCTTCGAACTATGATTTTTATGTTAGTATATAGTTCCTATCTAATGATAATCTTAATCGATAGAGTAGAATGTTGATTGAACTTCGAATAAATGTTGAATGAACGTCAAAAAAAACACAGTTCGATGTTTCTCTTTCCAGACAAGTGGTCTAAATGAAGCAAATATCAACAAACTTCAATACAAATTAAAAATGTACAACCTTTAAGATCGTTTTTGTATCATAAACTCCTTGACGCACAAAGGYTCACGTTCAAGTGCAGGCGAAATTCCACGACTCAATTCACCGCGAGAACATTTTGGCTCGTTAAATTAGTGACAATTGTTTGCGGCCTAATGTTCTTAAATAGACTCCCTATATATCTTGTATTGTTACTCTCTAACGCCGTGAAGCCTCTAACACAAGCAGAGAATCATCGCAGGATTGTTTATTACTTGTATGGGTGAACACATGACATTTCCAGTTTTACCCAATCATCTTCTAGAGATACATTTAGCACCCCCCCTAGCCACAAAGCAAACAAAACCAGATCAACCAGCATCAAATCATATAAAACTAACCCGATGTTCAGCTGTCAAGTTAGTTAAACTAACTCTTCATTGAGTCTACATCGACTTGATTAGAACAACAGTCGCTAATCGAGTAATCATTTCACAAGTATGAGCCGTTATTTCCACATGCAMCACARCGGGTTTGAGTATCCCGATCTCCGTCGATTACAAGATCATAACGACGTCCGAGTGCTACATTCTCCTTCTACTGGAATTTCAGTGCTTTCGAAACGTGATTTACATTCGCCAGTATTTGAAGACAGAGATGAGCAAGAAGTTCGCACGGAAGAACTCGAAAGAGAGGAAGATCACGAAAATGGAGTAATCATTTTGAAGAAACTTGAGAAACAGAGTAATGACGATCAAAAGTCCGATGAAGAAGAATCGGAGATCAGAGGTGAACCTGAAAGTAAAGATAAGGACAACGAAGAAGAAAAAGACTCAAAAGAAGACGACAAAAATGCAGAAACATTCGTCGCAGTCATTGCACAGTCAATCCTAAGCGTACCAACCAAGCGTATGACCCTAAGTTCAATCTACAACTACATCGCAAGCCACTATCCACACTTCGACAAGGAAAAAGGCCCAGGCTGGCGAAATAGCGTGMGACACAATCTCTCAAGTAATGATTGTTTTGTAAAGGCAAGTCGCGCAGAAAATGGCAAAGGACATTATTGGATGATTCATCCWAAAGATCTCCCCGAGTTCTCCAAAGGAAACTTTCGCCGCAGACGCAAACCACGGAGACCCAAATGYAGTCATTCCTTAATGTTTCGCGATGGSCCATTATATTATCATTCGTATGGACTCGGGTATTCTCCATATAGTTATTCAAGTCTTCGGAGTGCACATGAGCTTTCGGACTTTGCCTATGGAGCACCCTCCAGCGAGAGAGCTTTGGCCAACAGCTACCGATCACGCATTGGACTTTTAAGCTCGTGCGAGGACACATCAAATAGATTTGGGTTCGCGCTTCATCCGTACTCTTCTTGTCCCAGCTCGCTTGCGTTTCGCTACCCAGGGGAAGTTCTAAGGAGCTCCTCTGGRGGRCTGACGAACATTGGAAGCTCTTTCCACCCTGTGAATCACTTTCCTTGTTCTTGCCACAGATGTCAGATTACTCCAAAGGAAGGACATTATTTATGTTCTTGAGGAAAATATCTATTGATCTTCTGATTAGAACAGACTACTGATATAAAAGAGAAGTGGATTCTTTTGGGAATCTTVTTGTTGTTAAGGCATAAGGCAAAGAAATGACGTCAATTTCCTATTCCATTTACACTAACAAAATCGCAAGACAATTCAGAAACAGYATCATTGAATCTTAAAATTATAATGTATAAAAGTGATTCCACACCTGCAAAAGATATAAACTTGTGCTGTTATTCCAAAGGCAATTGTATATAGCTATCAGACAATAACTTGATTGAATCACATGTATGGTTTTTTTTTTTCGTTTTTGTACAAAGTTGATAAGAAATAGTTGTAATAATCTCAACACTTATTTATTCATTATTATTTAAACATAATTATTTGCAAAACTATTCCCTGTTATTGCCTGCTCGTTTCTCTGAAACTAAGGTGTCCATATGTGGTTGGTTTATTTATTTCTTCCTTGAGTTGATCGGCATTTTTTTTATAAAATCTTAGTATARTAAAGCAATATTCTTGTACAACAAGCTAAATTTTGGTTCTGAGTCTGTACCTTGATATATCAAAGCAAGTTTAAAGTAAATCGCCATGTTTTCTTATGATAGCTGACTTTAATTGATTTAGAAATTGCTACAGTTGTTGCTACAATTTAGATCAATTACTACTAYACATTATATTAAAGACAAAAGCGACAATTTTTCTTCTTTTTTTTAATATGCCCATATTGTACAAAAAAACTATGTTTATTTATGAACCCTTTTTTATTTACTTGGATATATCTGAACTATAGAAAGAGATTAATCATAATCACAAATTATTTCACAAGTCCAAAATGTTGRAAAGCTGCAATTTAGTTACTGTGATTACAGCAATTATAGACATTTTTTATTTCAGTTTTTCCTATAAATACAAAAAATAGTTGTCTGTACTATTCCTGCATAGATTTAAACTCAAACAGCTCTTTAAAATACATTGTAAATTAGAGAGAAGAAAAGAAGGAAAACAGTTAATAAATGGGATTGAAAGTGGGAACTGAAATAAAAGAAAGAATGTCGAAGCGAAGCTATGAGAAATAAAAAGAAACCACACAAGAAAACCTAGAGTGTTGAGATKAATCATAAGGACATCCATTTTAAACAGTCAAGTATTCCAATACCGAAATTATTTTAAATTAAATAAATTACGTTGAACAAATGCGCCAATAATAGCTCTATTGTTTAGTCCTATTACTCGCTGCAGTTTGCGGTTGTTATTGTCGACTTTCTCTTTGCTACTTCTATCATCTGTTCAGTCGGTAACACCTCGCATTTCAAAGCTTTTAATGTCGAAAAAAAAGTGGTATTTGTCTAGTTTTTTTTCATACATTTTTCCTGTATAGTTTTCCTCTTTGCTTAATACAGCTGTTTTCCCCTATTATTAGCCCACCGGGCTTTATCAAGGGCAATAAACAGTTTTAGCATGACTTATTTTGATTGAATTCGTGGAAATTAAACAAACGCTCTAAACGATCTGTCGAGAACTCTGCTATGTAAACAGAAGGATATTTTCAAATTTTGAGCTACTTGATAATAATTACCATTGARYTTCTCTTTGAAAATCAACTTTTTATTCGTACGAACATTTCTGCAATGCATTCATTTCTTTAAGGAATTTTTCCTAAAAAAGACACACAGTCCTTTTGGAGGTATTCTTTTGATCTTTAAATCATTGTATTTAGTKGATCTGTCCTGGATAACTACTTTGAGTATGACTTTGTTTGCAAAAAAGATAAAGAGGCGGTTAATCTTTGGTCTTGATTAACTCTGTATTCCATATCCTATTTAGAAATGAAATCAYATGGCATCTTTACTCCGTTTAAACCTTTTTTGCTCTGATTTTGGTGAAATACTAAAAACCACTGTCGATGAAAACTATATTATGATGAAAATCGTCGTATGCAAAAGAAACTTTTTTTTCTAGTCATCAATAATTTCTTTTTATTTCTCTACACTTCAAAATATCAAACCATGATACCCTTTCCGTGGTAAAGTTAAATTTATATTTCAAAAATGATCTTCGAATAATTTGTCCTCATAAACAGATATTTGGGCGAAATTACCAAGTGAAACTGTTGACTTTCCTTCACCAGCTTATMCAAACAAAACTTCAATCCTTTTATTAAGAGATCCATTGGGCTTAGTTTCCGCCGTTTTCTTCCATACTTAGTGTATTTGCTCTTAGTAAATTAATGAAATGAACCGTTGGCTTTATTGATTTAACACGGAAGGAAAGAGAATAATGTTATTGAAAGATGTTATTGTAACTTCTATCGACAAATACATAACATTTTTCACACGTGAAATTTCTTTGGTTTCTCGATTCATTTTTGCCTACTTATGTATACATCCTTGAAGTGAGAATGAGCACTTAAAAATTGGTCTGAATTAATTAGTTCAAAACCAAGATGATTACTAAAGGTGCGCGGCGCAAATTGTCAAGTCCCTCTTAACCAAGATACTTGAAAAGACCCTCTGTAACAAAGGGAAAAGGAAGGCTGGTGTTGTCTAAAAATTAGCAGGAAAGAAGATCGGAAATTAAAAACTCACTAAACTAACAAAGAACACCTTCGTCTATACAACTCGATGTGTGTTTTTTTACAGTATTCTTGCTCACATTGCCTTTTTTAACGCGCTAACGTCTCCTAAAAGAGCGATCCAACGAGCGCTAGTTGATCTGTCTCTCTAGACATTAAGCTCAATGTAAAAGGTGTTTAACATAATAATATCAGCTGACAAAACTTTTGTTCAGCTACACTTCTACACTTTTATGAAGACTGATGAACAAGTTACTAATGCGATAAAACTTTTTTTGCGCAAAGCGCGTTTCAAGAGTTTTACTATTTCAGTTAATTGGCATTTGTTAATTTAGTTGGAAAAACTTTTACGTGCCTCTGGTTGGTTTTCGTGCACGATAACGAAGGCACAGACCACCAGAGAGAAATCATTTCACAAGGAGATTAACTTACGAAGCTGCGCAACTCGACGTGATCTTAAGCGCCATCCATGTAAATATATGATTAACTTTTCGCATCGTCATCAATCGCTAAATACGCTATGTTTACCATAACAAAAGAAATGATTTTCTCAACTCAAATGATCCAAAAAGACACAAGCGAACTAAATTTGTGTATACAGTTTAGTTTAGCATCAATTCGATAGCTTTGTTTAATATTCACAAACCTGTCTGATTACTAGTACATGTTGTATGGCACTGTGAACATAGATTCATTCAAAACAAACAAGACGTCTGCTATATGAAAACTGTTTTTGATATTTGAGATGTCAAGTCATCCTTATGGAATCCTTTGAACTAGCAAAGATATTAAACTAGATGAGAAAAGAAGTTATAAACTTTAATTGCAAACTTGTCAGTTGTATATTGTATTTTACTTCTGTAAAACAGAAACAAACATGTTTCTTTTATAACAAGAACATTTCCGATTTTAAACACTTTGATTAAATCACATGAAAAACGTGATATGGTGTAATTTCTAAGTGACGTCACAACCAAGTTGTTCAAGCACGCGGTCAAAACGCTTGTTCTTTTACAAGGTGACAGTAGAAACTTTCCTTAAACAATCGGTCAGTGCCTGAAGTCAGTCCTAAGCGTTTCCTGTAAGCCAATGTCTATTGTAAATTGCCAGATTAAGAAATCCATAATTGATCATTTGTCTTTTGTATATGAGGGAGCTTATCTTCTATGGACAATAGGCCGAGGGTATTCTTCCCCACGACTCCTCGTTTTAACTTGTATCAAAAAGTAATTCAGCTGTAAAATAGCTATCGTTTTTGCACGCCAGCAATGTAAAATGGAAGTGAACAACATTTATTTTCAATGAAATCTCCCTAACGATTTATGTCAACAGAGTCAGTCTAATAAACGTCGTTATGTATTTCTTGCGTTTCTACGCAATCTTCCGTGTTTCCGTCCTTAGAAGCACATGATCAGATCTTTGACGAACCTATACTTTCTAAATCTTTGTTTCAAGCAAACTTTATGTTGATCCTACTGAAAAACACGTGCGTTACAGCAACGTAGTAACGTAAAGAGCGTACACAATCGTATATGATTAAGAAAATTGGAAAGATTGGTTACGTTATAGCACGTCACTTTTACGTAACGTAATTCAAGGTTGATCATCTTCAACGAGAACATCCCGCGTTATGGAACGTAACTTCGTAAACTCATAGAATTGAAAGTATCCCAGTTAGTGCATTTTATAATAAATACAGACTCAAACTGCCCAAAGACATTGCACAGGAAGCAATTAATGTTTTYTGTCTATGAAAAAGCTAAAAATCTAAAATTATCGACAAAAAATGTGGAACTGGCTTAAAAAATATATTCCGTTTTTGAATTAGAAAGTTTTTTTAATTTCATTTAAACTAATTTATTAATATCAATCATTGCAGATTAAGCTATAGAATGTTATATTCGTGACGACTTAGCAAGAAAACGACCAATGCTGTACAGGTGACCACGAAGGAGTCCGCGTTCATGAATGCATTGCGTGCGGGCTCATGCTGTGTGTGTACAACTCAAGGAGCTCAACCATGTCACCACCCAAGGAGCAACAAGTGGTTGGCAAGTCAAACAAGCAAAGCAAATAAACAATATTTACGCATTCAATTAGAACCCACTAATTGTATCTTAACATTGTTAAGTAAACTGTTGAAGAAGAACACGCCTTCGATCATAAATTTGTGCTGAAATTATGACATATAAAAACGTTTGTTTAACGTTTTGCCTTTTTTTCTTAATAGTGGACTCATAACAATAAGTGATAGGCACTTGAGCCAAATGTCAAGACAAGTATTTAATGTATCTTTTAGGGAATTATTAGTATCGTTATTTGATTTTTCATTCACCATTTGACCTTTGTCTTCTTGTCCACTTCTTCTCTACGGTCGTGTAATCTTTATGAGCGAAAAAAATTGAATGCTATGGATAAAGGGAATTCAAATACAGAAAATTTGCTTAAACAATTATGTTTATTTAAAAGATATTAATTTTGAAGACTTGATTCTTTAGAGATTAGAAGTCAATTTGACTTTGTATATTCCTCGATTGTTTATTTTTTAGAAGCATTTGCGCGAATTCATAGTAGGTACTGCGGTCAAACACGATCATCTTTTGACCATTTAGGAATTCAATGATAAATACTTGGCCTGCAGTATATATTATCGATATCAGCGTATCACTTTGTATCTGTTTTATCACAATTACTGCAGAGTGTATAGTTATCTGTAAAAGTAAATTATGTTTTCAAATATTTACCTCCCAATATATGGAGGTACTACGAATGTGTTATCTACACTTGTGAATATAGTATATTTTCTACATTGAGAAATATAAGTATTCCATAGAAAATTATGTGATTGAATATTGATTAGGTATGTTAAGCTTTCACGTACGGCGAGTTGCATGAAATCTCGATATTAAAAACTGCAGGTAATCCGAATCATATGTTGAAAAATGAACAGATCAGGAAGTCACTTTTGTTCCAAACAACGAAAAGCTCTGCCACGATTTATACGTAATTTCCTTTCCTAATGTCAAAACAACACGTGCTTGCTTCCCCCGGAAACCTGTTGATTGAAATAGATTAGTAGTGGCATGAAGAGACACTAAGGTTGCGTGCTAGTCCATGCTGAGTGTATAGGACTCTCTCAAGTCAACCATGACACGCCACCCAGAATCGAATAGGTGTTTAACATAAACACGAGGAACGGAAACACAATGGTATGACGTCATTGTTCCTAGTCCTTTTTTGGACTTTTGATCCCTTTTATGGTGTGAACTGTTGAAGTTTCCTCTGTACCAATCACAATGACAATAACTATCTCAATAATGAAAGATATAAATCAATTAAAAAAAATAAGAATAAGTCAAGTAACATGCAGGCTGAATGCAATCGTTTTTTATTGTCTAAAGCTTATTCTTACAGTCAATAAATTGAACTGATGCTGTTTTACCTATCTATATTTATGTGCTTTGCGGTTATTACCATGCATGATTACGTCATTGGCTCATTTCTTTTGCGGTCTCATCTTCATCTCAGCTCTTGCAAGGCAATAGGTGCTTTTCCAGTGGTACCAGATCACGCCACGGTCTGAAATGGTACCGCGGTACTTGTACTGACCATTAAGGTTGGAATTATAGCAGTTGTTATACCACCAGGCACCCTTGTAATCCACTGCACAGTTGCCACTACTGTCCTTGTCATTGTCACGATCTTTGGTAGTGAAGGCCATATTACGATGACTGGCCAGGGAATCAACTGCAGTACCTGAAATACAGGAAACACAGCTTTGTACCAATATTTCGTTGCTTTTTATCTTTATAAGTATTGTTAACGTTGTTGATATTTTTTATGGCTTTTATCATTGGGTCGGAGATATACTATGCATTCAAACACCTCGAGCTAATTTTTTTTTCCTTTTTTGTTTTTGTTTTTGTTTGGTTTTGTAATCACATCAAGGGCGCTAGAACTGAAATTATGACCTATAAGATCCAAAAATTGCTTAATTTATCCAACATAAGATAGTAGATAATAAATTGTAAAGTTTTACTTATCTGAAATATACACTGAAATGTCGTCTTAGACACTAAAAAGCACTTGATTTTACGAAATTCATCCAAATGATCGTTACTCAAGCGGTTTGGCCAGGGCAAAGTGATTTTAATCCGGTTAATGAATAACGTTCCTGGCGAGACAGCAGTGGCTGGTACAACAAGGACAGCGGTAATAAATTCAGCAACAACCGCTTGAGTAACGATCATTTGGATGAATTTCGTAAAATCAAGTGCTTTTTAGTGTCTAAGACGACATTTCAGTGTATATTTCAGATAAGTAAAACTTTACAATTTATTATCTACTATCTTATGTTGGATAAATTAAGCAATTTTTGGATCTTATAGGTCATAATTTCAGTTCTAGCGCCCTTGATCACATTTAGGCCCTCATGTAATTCCTATTACTTTTTAGTCTCCTTCGCAGCCTCCCCTTTTGTCGGGCTTCCTGTCCCTCCCAAAAGAAGAGGCTGCTTACCCGAGCGGAAGATTCCATTCCCGCTTTTAGCCAATCACAGATCGGCTCCCCGATTTCGGGAGCCAACTCGACGCCACGGGACATCGAAATGCTCATAAGACGTACTAAAACGACTCCAATTTTCGCTAAACGACTGCTATTTGCGATAGATTTTGAGGAGAAGACCGACCTGTTTGTTGAATAATCTGAACTGCTTCATAAATCAAGTATTAGATTCCGTAGATATTGGACAAGAAAAAACACGATAATCAGAGACAGTTGTTGTTATTTCGCCTCTACTCTGTCTACTAAACCTTATCAACGACGAGAACTAGATTAAAAGAACTAGAGTGGTTACTACCATCAATTTAGTGGTATTGGAAGAAGAGAAATTCACGGAAAAGGGCAAATTTCAAGTTGTTTAGCTTATTTATTTAAGACACGCTTCGCTCGCAAAGTGTTCGTTGCTTCGCGATATCTTTCCGTATAAATCTCTTCGATCCAGTCGAACCGTTGTTAAAATTTTAACCAAATCCTTGGCAAACTCGTATTTATCCCGWTGCAATTATTTGATTTGTAAATCAGTTGTTGTGATGTAAATATCCACTTGTGGTATTTCGATCGGCATAAAAACAAATTCGCACTTCCCGACAAACTCTTGAAAGTTTGTTTCCAAACGGAGATATCGACGGACATCTAACCAAAAATACAAACTTTGYCYACTGGAGAGCATGAAGAGGAAATTATATTATCACTTTGTGCTATTTTTGTAGCGTTTTCTTCATGTTAGCAAACTACTTTTTAAAGCATTGATATCAGAACACATAGTGTCTGTTTTGATCGGGAGTCCCTGATTGTCTACACAGTAGCTATCATTTGATTGGTCGTGGCTGTTGAGTGCATACAATAGGGAATGGAATCTTCCGCTTGGGTAAGCAGCCTCTTCTTTTGGGAGGGACAGGAAGCCCGACCAAAGGGGAGGCTGCGAAGGAGACTAATTACTTTTTGAAGATATTTGTGGAAGGAATTCTCTAATATCTAAGATTTTCTGAGTTTTGAACGCCATAAGAAATCAAGCGGTTAACAATATTTGTATCTTGCAAAAAATGAATGAAGGGCACGTTTGATTTACCTGAGTAAGTTCCAAGACTTAACTTGTAATTGGTTTTTTCATTGGTCACATCAAAGAAGTCGTACTCGACATACGCGCTATTTCCTTGCACGTCTCCAACCTCAACACGAAGACGGTTTCGTTTTGCTTGGGTTAGTCGGTGGATCTTATCGAGACCAAGCCAGAACTCGCCTTTCAGATCTCCAAACCCATTCTTATAGTCGGCCCATCCTCGGTAAAAGTCCACCGAACCGTCTTTTCTTCTCTGGAAGACTGTCCATCCTCCCCCTGCAGTCTGCTGGTCACAGTAAACCTGGGAAAAGACGATATTGGAGTCAAAGCGAAAACAAGTCAAGTACATGACAATCAGGAACTTTCATGATGTTTCTGTTTAAGAACAGATCATCGATTTACTTTCGGTACCTTGAAACCTCCGCCATCGTCGGGATACACATCGTACTCTCCACTTTGCTTATARCCATTTTGAAGTACTTCGGCGCAGTTTTTTGCTTAAATAGAAATCAAACCAATTAATGATATACGGCAATTAGTATAGGAATAAGCTCGACCTTGATTACAATTTGGAATTAATAGTCACGAGTAATGTTTTGAAAGTTCTTCGAAATTTTGAGAATTTTCAAAATTACGAGTGACTATTAATTCCAATTTGTACGAAATATTGTGCGATTTTTTGTTTAAAGTACATTAAGTGGAACAAAATTTTAAAAGGAGAACAATTGACGCTGTAATTTTACTCCTCTCGACCAATGAAAAAGTATTATTTTATTGAATGTATTATAAAAGGTAAAATATGTAGATAAAATATGTAGTGAGATTTGGCTGGTACAGGGTTTGAACTTGTTCTTGAACGTAATTGGCTGCCAACACAACGCGTAACAGCAGATCAAGTACAGAATGAGCAATTTCCACAAACATGAAAAGGCTCCAAAAGGTATTAATACCTGTCTCAAGAAGGGCTGTCAAAGAGATTTGACAATCATTTACAATTAGTCATTTGGTGATGCTCACGATACTCATGGGATCGATCTCGTTATTCATTGATCTTTGAATATGAGCAAAATATCAAGTATACTAACGTGAACATTTGCTTGGATTGCATTTCCTTGTTTCTTTGTCGTTTCCAGTGCAATCGTCACCACCATTGGCTGGCGCAGGACTTGTGCACGTTCTTGATCGTGATTGGCTGCCTCCACCACACTTGACTGAACAACTTTCCCATGGTTTCCAGGAAGACCAATTTCCGTGAACTAATGGGTTATTAAAAATAGCATATTAACTGAGACTCTATTTATAAATATATTATAGTAGACTATATTAGGTTTGATATCAAAATAGACTTTTTAAAAAAAATTGCTGAACCCATATATGAACTTTAAAAAGTTCATATATGGGTTCAGCAATTTTTCTTTCAAATGAAAGTTTGGACATTAAAAATCACATAATCAAAGGAATTTTTACGATACTATATAAATTTCTTATATTTTTAAGCTTTCAAACTGCGGAATGAGCTGATAAAAGTCGAGCGTTATGGAGGCCTGGTACTAGTCCGTCCAGTGACGTCATTCACGGAACAAGGCTACGGTAAACAACACTAAACTTCACAGAACTGATCTTTAAAACGATTTTTCTCGAAAAAAGACATGTCTGATTGCAGCAGTAAATGTAGTGACTCTTGTTACATTTCTGAGTAATTATGAAGTTGAATCTGAAACCAATCAATGCGCAAAATGACCACTTTATCGAAGAGCACTTCGAAGCATCCTGAAGCATATCGCGACATGAACGCTTTAAAGTACAGCGACGAACCGATTACAGATTAAGAGTGGCTCGCTGAGTATTAAATTTAAAAAGGTTTTATATGCGGACGGGCAAACTTCGCCAATGTTGTCTAGAAATGTAGTTACACGAACTTTCTCTGAGTATTTTAAACACAGTATGTAAGATGCCCGGCAGCCGGTCACGGTCTTAAAAAAACTCATTAGGCAAAGTGTATGAATATGGACGGACAAACTGTATTATTATAAAAGGCTTCATTCAAGGTTTTATGGAAAGAATTCGCGTGTTTTCCTCTGATATGGTGGCCTATGGCTGGCACTACATTTTTACCTCTCTTTTGTTTAATTTCTGTTTGATTTTCATTATTGAAATGAAAAGAAAAAGAAAAAAAAAATCCTTTTGAGAAAAAAATCAAAAGTAAATGAAAATACGATCAANTTTGCTGAACAACCATTTCTGAATTTGATAGAAAATATACTTTACTATACGAGCAATGTAGCGAAAGTATTTCAAGACAAATATGGTTTGCGAAAACAGGGGAAAAGTTCAGACAATGAAGAAAGATGCAGACAAAACTGCTCCGTGTCGAAGAAAAGTAGCTTTCTTATTACAGTCAAATAGAGTTGAAAAACAAAGCCAAAGGTTAAGTAATTTGATATAAAACATACTTTACTATATGAGCAATGTAGCGAAAGTCAGTTTCAAGAGCAAATGTCTGCGAAAACAGGGGAAAAGTTCAGATAAAGATAAAGAAAGATAGAGACAAAAGGCGTGTAATGTGTGCAAAAATGCAGAAATGTGATTTTTGTGACGAGAACTCGTTTTGAGTAGAATTCTGTTGCAAAAATATAATGAAAACAAACCCTTAAAGAATGTTTTCTATCAAATTCAGAAATGGTTGTTCAGCAAAAGGTGTAAAATTATCGTAATGCAAACTTCACTTCGTTCGCCTCCATCGACTACATTTTCCTTTTTCTTGTCCGCTCTTGAAGTAGATCAACAAGGACCAATCAGGTGCCGTGTAATATGTGCGCGCGTTGTGATTGGTTGTCTAAAAATAGATTATCGGAACATCTGATGGTGGCGATATTATTGGGGAGATGGACACTTCTGGTTATGTACTTCTGATCGTGCTTWACTTGAAATCAGGCTGTCTAGGTTCTAAGGGCGAGGTAAATTTAAGTGAGCTTTTTGAAAAAGGCACGAAAGCAATTTTTTTCCAAGTTGAAGTGAAAACGTAGGATTACCTATACGAATGGTTATTGTAAGGATGTGTTTTATTTAGCTATTTGATACTTTATACTCCTTTTATATTTATTCTTCAAAATTATTGACTACTTTATGCTCGTTTAGAATACTATAAATATTATCTACGATTAGCATACCCTTTTCGCAGTTTTCTCCGCCAAATCCCTTCTTGCATTCGCAGTGAGAATGCTGCCTGTTCTCCTGCAAAACGCACTTGCCGCCATTATGACAAGGTTTTTCTTGACATGGATTCTAAAGGCAAATAAGGAAATCATATATTTAATTCAAAAGAGAAGCCTTATTAGACAATCACTTTTGAGCAATTTATACTGTGAAGTACATTTTTAAAAGGATGTACTAGCTCTTTGATGTGGAGAGAAATGGGTATTCCATGCACTGCTCGCGATTTGGTGAGAGTTAGTATAAAAATTAAAACAATGCAGAAAGCTAGACGTATGCTGAACTGATTCTCAGATGGTAATCTTTTATCAAAATTTCAAATTGAATGAAATATCTAAACTTGATTGGAGTCGAAACATTTGGAGATAGATCACTGCAGTAGTCGAAACATTTCATTCATATACTAGACAAATACTGACTACAAATGAATATTTTCTTCCACCAGCATAAGTTTGGTAGTTCTTTTTAAAAAAAATCTTCAAAGAATTGACTGCAAAGTGTTAGAATATATTGAAAATCTCTTGGGAAACCTTTATTTTTTTTTATAGTTTAAATAATGTAACGTCAATTGAATTGAGATACATAGGCCTTCAAGAACGGACCTCAAACTCTACATAGATATAGTTTACTTATAGTGTGGTAGTTTAGTTTTTTCCTTACCTTAACGCTATAATGGTTGTACGCTTTACTTGGTTCCATGTACTCTTTCCCAGCGAACTGTTCAGATGAAATCAGTTGACAGGCGTGGAGACCGTTAGATCGAGGAGCGATTTTAAAATTGGTTGAACGGCACCAATGGACACCCATGCATGCGAACACACATTCCATGTTATCAGCAACATACTTGGTTTTCTTCATTGCTCCTTTTGGAAGGTTAAGCTTTTGAGCAGGATAAAAGTCAAAAAGAAGACCTTTTTCCCTGTCGTAGTTTGGAGGGTAAGCCGAATGGCAAGAGCTGTAGTCCGCGACATTCAAAAGAAACATGGCAAAGGCTGATAGTCTTAGCAAGAAAGACATTCTTGTTCGTTCTTTCACAAGGTTGTTTGAAGTGGCTTTGCTCTTTCAAGTGATCGACTTTGTATATCAGAAGTCTAAACGGTCTGAGTGTCAAAAAGGGAATGTTGGGCGTGTTTATTTGCTAGGATTGTAAAAAAACGCCAGCTGTCTTCAAACGGAACTCACCAGCACAGCTATAATTTATTTCGAGTGTCTAAACAAACGTCTGTCAGCCTGACGTTTAGGCCTAGAACTAAACGTCAGGCAATTGAATTTTTTCTTAAATCGTCAGAACAACTATAATTTCAGTTAATAGAACAAGAATTTGAAGAAAAATGGAATAAACACCGAAATAATACTGTTCGCCAAGTTTGCAAACACAACGGCACGGCACTTTAAGTTTTTTCGATTGCCTGACATTTATTAGTCCCAGGACTAATTAAAACGTCAGGCAGTAGGGTTTTTTTTTTTGAAAAAGATCCAAAAAAATCGAAGGGTGTCCTTGTTTACACAACTTTGTCAAACTGCATTATTTCGGTCTTATTCCAATTCTCTTGTTCTATTAACTGAAATTACGGTTGTTCCGATGATTTTTCAAAAGAAAAGTGGATTGTCCGGCTGATAAGAAGGACATGATCGCTCTCAGTTCAAGAATAGTTCATGGTAGTT